CGTACCTCCATCTACCTCGCGCCTGATTCCGTACTCTTTATTTAACCTCGGCTGATATCCGTACCTCCATTCTAACTCGGTAGATTCCGGTACCTTTCATCTAACCTCGGCTGATTCCGTGTCTTTTATTCATAACCTCGGGCTTGATTTCGTGTCTTATATCTAACCTCAGCTGTTCGATGTCTTCATCTAATCTTCGGTGATTCCGTACCTCCATCTTAACCTCGGCTGATCTCCGTACCTTATCTAAACTCGGCTGATTCCGTACCTCCATCTTTAAACCTCGGACTGATTCCGTTACGCTTTATTAACCTCGGCTGAATTCCGTACCTCTAATCTAACCTCGGCTGATTCCCGTACCTCTAATCTAACCTCGGCTGATTCCGGTGTCTTTATTTAACCTCGGCTGATTCCGTTGTCTTCATCTAACAATCGGCTGATTTCCGTTATCTTCCATCTAACCTCGGCTGATTCCGTGTTCTTTCATCTAACCTCGGCTTGATTCCGTCTGTTTCTTTTATCTAAACCTCGGCTGATTCCGGTGTTCTTCATCTAAACCTCGGCCTTGGATTCCGTACCTTCGTCTAACCTCGGCTGATTCCGGCTGCCAAATCTAAACCTCGGCTGCTGATTCCGTGTCTTTATCTAAACCTCGGCGCTGATATCCGTAACCTTCCATCTAACCTCGGCTGATTCCGTGTTCTTCATCTAACTCTGCGCTGATTCCGTACCGTCATCTAACCTCGGCTGGCATTCCGTGTCTTCATCTAACCTTGGCTTGATTTCGGGTCGTTTATCTAACTCGGCTGATTTCGTGTCTTCATCTAATCTCGGCTGGATTCCGTACCTCCATCTAACCTCGGCTGATTCCGTACCTTTTATTACTAACCTCGGCTGGATTCCGTTACCTCCATCTAACCTCGGAATAGATGATATACCGTACCTTTTATCTAACCTCGGCTGATTCCGTACCTCTATATCTAACCTCGGCTATTCTTCCGTAACCTCTATCTAACTCGGACCTGATTTGTGTCTTTATTTTAAACCTCGGCTGATCCGTGGTTCTTCATCTACACGTGGCTTGATTCCGTGTTATTCAATCTAACCGTCGGGCTTGATTCCGTGTCTTTATTCTAAAACCTCGGCTTGATTCCGTGTTACTTTATCTAACCTCGCCTGATTCCGTGTCTTCGTCTTAACCTCGGCTGATTTCCGGTGTCTTCGTCTAACCTCGGCGCTCATTTCCGTGTCTTCATCTAACTCGGCTGATTCCGTGTCTTTATCAACCCTCGGCTTGATTCCGTGTCTTCGTCTTAACCTCGGCCTCATTCCGTATACGGAATCAGCCGAGGTTAGATAGAGGTACGGAATCAGCCGAGGTTAGATAGAGGTACGGAATCAGCCGAGGTTAGATAAAGGTACGGAATCAGCCGAGGTTAGATGGAGGTACGGAATCAGCCGAGGTTAGATAAAGGTACGGAATCAGCCGAGGTTAGATGGAGGTACGGAATCAGCCGAGGTTAGATGAAGGTACGGAATCAGCCGAGGTTAGATGAAGACACGGAATCAGCCGAGGTTAGATGGAGGTACGGAATCAGCCGAGGTTAGATGTAGACACGAAATCAGCCGTGTAGTGCAGAGTGCAATGTTCCAAGATGGTATCACCGCTTCCTGAGCCCTTATGTTTCTTTGCGCTGATTTCTCTACTTATGGCTTCGACGAACGATATCCTGTCAATATTGTAATGAGCACGCCTGCTTGTTAGGCTAGCGCAGCGCGCGAGCGAATCTCTTGCCTCTACACGCGATATTCATTAGCAATGAGTATACCCACTCTCGCTAATTGCTATTATCCGCGCATAATTATCAGACATCGTGAAGCCACACCACATGATGTTTCCCGCCGGATGGCGTGGCTGCGTCGGTGTGGCGGGGTTAATTCATACATGCTGGGGCGCGAGTTTCGGTTCACGGAGATATGCAAAACGCCCCCATCGGGCACCGAGCGTTCTATTGTCAACATGAATCTCGCGAGAATTAGAGCAATAGGTACGTCTTCGCGGAAAAAGTAGAAACGAGGCGCGACAATGGATGTAGCTAAAAAGTGCACGTGAATGACATCAGCATGGATTACAGACTTGGACGTGTAAATTGTCAGGGAGGTCCCCGAATTAAGAAACATCATTAATTCGATTAAAGAAGTCTCGCGATTTATTTTAGTTTCAGTGTGAAAATGATATATATTATAGGACAAAAGTATTAACAAGTTTATGTTAGGTGGCAGCGTCGCTCAGCAGGAAACATTGTTGTTTCAAAATACAACATTACCAATTACAATACTATATTTTACAGCCACATCAGATATATAAGATTAACACTATATAAATAAATATAAAAACATCCCCCTAACATACATATTATCCCCATTATTACTCAAATAATAAACAACTCCAACTAGCACAAAAACCCAACCCAACGCCCGCTGCTTACCTTTTCTCGAAGTCTTTCTCGAGTTTCTGAGATCCTGAACAAAACGATCCAATATAACCTCAAAAAAAGTTACGCTGCGAGAGTAATTGCGCTATGCCCGCGCGCACCTTGTTTAGGCATGCTTGCAGTCTCGCCGCTGAGAAAAACTATACATATATAGCTATAGCCTGAGAGACCGAGCGGGTAAGCATGGGAGACTGAGCCAAAGGCAAGCTAATTTCATACTAGTTTTTATTAATAACCCCAGCGCTCATCCGATTGACTTGTGCGGCTACCGCACAATGCTTACCAAATGTTGCAGTCGACGACGGGCCCGCTATATTATGACTCGGATGCCGTCTATAACCGGCCAGCCAGACTCTAGGCGATCCAATAGTAGGAGTCTTGTAACAGGCTAACACACGTAAATAGCACTTTAGGATTGCAAGACGCGGGGACATCTTCAACCGGTCTTCTCGAATACAGCCAGAGGATGAGAGACTCAATATCGCGAGAAATCTCTCTCTCCCATCCTACTACTCCCCGCAGATGACCAACAGTCATAGGATATGCACATTACGACCCTAAGCCCGAACCCGGCGTCGGCAGGAAATGTAAGCGATAGGAAAAGCCAAACCACATCGCCGAGCGTGGCCGGCCTTAGATTTATTATCACACGCCTTTCAAGCCACGGAAATTTTACGTCGACTTTACGGGGCGTTCACGCGCTTCGAAGCAGAGGAAATAAACGCTGTCTTTCATCTCCCCTCTCCTCTCCCCTCTCTCTCTCCCACTCTCTCTCTCTTTCTCTCTTCTCTCTCTCACTCCTCTCTCTCTCCTCTCTTTCTCTCCTCTCCCCCTCTCTTCTTCTCTCTCCCTCCCTTCTCGCCCTGTCTCGTATATATATATATATATATATATATATATATATATCTTGTGTCTCTTCTTCGTATCTCTCTCTACCTCTTCTCTCACTCTACTTCTTCCCTACCCCTACCTCCTCTCTCTCTCTCCCTCTCTCTCTCGCTCTCTCTTTCTCCGCCTCTCTCTTTCTCTCGCTCGTCTGTTTGTCACACACCTGTCGCAGCGACGCATCTAACGTCAGGTGTAAATACGTCGTCTCGCGCGCCCTCGCTCGGACAGGTGTATCTGTTTGTCTCGTCTGTTTGTCACACACCTGTCGCCGCGATGCGACTAACGGCACTTCAGGTGTGAATACGTCATCGCGAGCGCCCTCGCTCGGCCGGTGTGTCGGCGATTCAGAGTTAATGGAACGCACAGAACCGATCGAAGGCGAAACCGCAGCAGAAGACTCGTATCGGTTCGGAGAATATTTATACTATAGGGTCAGACACGCGTCCATTAGCGGTAGTAAAGACGTAGCAGTGATATAGATGGACTTACAGTGGTGCCTGTTATATAACGTGATAATTGCCTCCAAAAATCCGATTGCGTAGGATTTGGCGGGTAGCGGTATAGCGGGGTAATTAAATGTTTAAAAGAGTAATTAAAGAGAGAAAAGTGGAGAGCCGAGTGATGCCGCGTTATATCTGAGCTTTCGTGATATTGCGGGATCTGCTGTAGAGCCGCCAGTAGCGTTACCGATACCATATCCTCGTTGTATGTGTAGCTTACTCCTGGGTACATGTCATCCTGGTTGTATGTGTAGCTTATATTGTTTGTAACCACTGCGGGCCTTCCTTTGTTCCATCGCAAGTCGTGATATATGACGATAGCAAGCAGTGAGATCAACGTTAGCGTTACGTCACCGCCACATCATTTACACGATAATCGTCATCGTCATCATCGTCATCATCATCATCATCGTCATCATCGTCATTATCATCATCATCGTCATAATCATTATCATCATCATCATCATCATCATCATCGTCATCATCGTCATCATCATCATCATCATCATCATCATCATCGTCATCATCGTCATCATCATCATCATCATCATCATCATCATCATCATCATCATTAATGCCACGACCGCTACCACCATGGCCATCATCACCAACGTCACATCATTAAATCCATGACCAGTGCCGTTATCATCGTGTCGACATCGACATCATCATCGTCATCATCATCATCATCATCATAATCATCATCATCAACGTCCTCATCAACGTCGCTGCTGCTGCGCACCTCGCAAAAGATTAAATGATGAAAACGTACGATTCGCGTCGTCGCTTCGCTAAAAAAATAAAAAAAATAAAAATAAGCGGGGATGAAGCAAGATGACCGTCAGAGGGAATTCATGAGCAGTGAGCATCTATCGGTTCGTCGGTCCGTGTTTGTAGACGTCATCTCGCTCGTGCTGCCTGGCGCGTTTGCTCGCTTCAACACAGCCTGACGTCTTGCGCAACAAACGAGGCGTATGCAACCTAGTCGATTAAACAAACAAAAATCCTTGTTTGAATTATACTTATAATACTTATATGCTTATAATATTACTGAAAAATACCGGCTTGTTATTCATCACTGTGTGTTGTTTATTTTCGGTTTTGCTTTGCCGTACAGCGCGACGATCGTGCGCTACTATCGACAGATCTGGGTGAAGCTAATGTCTGAAGACGTGATAGAGGGCGCCCCGGTGGAACCGACGACGGAACCAGAGCCGACAAGTAAGCAAGCGAGCGAGTATCGCGTCGATCGATTCTTTTTGCTAAATAAGCCAATTGTTAATCAATAATGGTTGTAATAATTGCGTCATTGCTGTTGTTGTTGTTACAACGAGATCCTAATGCGCGGCCGAATGTCTTTTCGATTTATTAGCCAGTTTTACAATAGTCAATTAGTATTTTCTGCTCGTCTGCGTTGTTAGTAGTCGCGCGCGAGTACGTGTGCGTGCGAATGCACATCCATAGCCTGTTTAATGTTGTTTGCACCGTGCGTGTTGCTGTGTTTGCACGGTAACTGTATGTCTGAATGCTAACAATGTAACATATATTACACGCGTGATTATAAACGCTAACCACCTGCCTAATTATAATTAATCATTTGCTTTCGATATAAATCTTCCGTAATGTTAACCCCCCTGCTTACCCTACTAATTAGTGTTAGATATACACCGGTTTTAACTGTTTTTGATCGCTATAATGACAGTAGCACTTGGAATAAAAAAAAGGTGAGAAACCCGAATGTAGTCGTTAGTATAGACTTCTAAACAGCGAAGTTAACAAACTGGTCGCCATCTTGTAAAGCAGCGTAAGAACATCGCGCATGCGCGTGAGAGGAATAACCCGAGTTAGTCCCCCAAGATATTATCGAAACTCTACAACATGAGATATCGGAAGGGGTGGTTAATTTGTGAAAATCTCACATGCAGTGTATGTTAGAATTCCGACATAGACATCACCGGGGATATGTATATAATGTATATTTATATATGTAAATAGTGTGCCTATATTACCCAACCTGGCCGTCAGTAGCAGCAACCTGCACATGTATGATCAGACTATACTAGCGAAAAACTTTCTCGCTCATGACGCGTTCAGCCGAGACGCCTCTCTCGCCTCGCCGAGTTTTTGATATTGACGTTGATTACAGTCGACATATTGCGTATACGTGACGCAGGTATATAATTACGCTGCTCCTTTCTCCGCCGTAATACCCGCGCCGAGCAAATGTAATACACGGCAGCTCTGCCTGATCAAACTCGCCCGCTAAAAAAAACCTCACAGCTCGACTGATGTGTTTTTACGACTATGCCGTAAAAGCGCGTAGAATTATATATGCGCCGCAATAATTATAGATAGGCCCTAGTCGTCTAATTTCATGCAACAAACACAACAATTATCTCATAGAAACGTTTATCAAATTATCTCTCTCGCGCGCGTGCGTGCATGCGTGCGTGTGTGTGTGTGTGCGTGCGCGTATGTGTGCGTGCGTGCGTGTGTGTGTGTGTGTGTGCGTGCGTGCGTGCGTGCGTGTGTGCGTGCGTGCGTATCTGTGTGTGCGTGCTTGCGTGTGTGTGTGTGTGTGCGTGCGTGCGTGCGTACGTGCGTGCGTGTGTGCGTGCGTGCGTGTGTGCGTGTGTGTGCGTGCGT